CACCACATATTCTACATCGTGGGATCATGGGCCTGACAATTCATTTAATACCCCGGTTTCCAAGCAAATTTTATTTTTTCTTTTTGATTTAAATTTTCTTTTTCTGTGGCTGATAATGGCTAAAACCCAAGGGTTTTTACCAGGAACAGCTGTAAAAAGTTAATTTCAATAAACTTTGAAATCCGGAGGTATAAAAAACCCCTTTTCCTCCCAAGAAAGCTTTACGCTTTCTGAATCCCTAATCGACGAACAACCTTTATCTTCTTCCCTCTTGCACTAAACTGTTTTCCTGCAAGTTCCTCAAAACCTTTTTTTAACAATGGTGAAATCTGGTGTTTCCAAGAAGCAATCAAAGGCCTTAGGACCAGCGAAACCAACTGGTTCAGACATGACGATCAAGGTTCAATACCCAGCCATTTCTTCAAGCAACTTTAGCGTTCTATTTGAAGATCAACCTCACTACAATGACGCAATCCGCCTCATGATCCAGTTTATTCCATCTCATCCCTTGTTTGGTGCTTTTGATGTATTCACTGATGTTGTTCCACTCCCCACACTATTCAAACATGCATTTTCTGCATATCGACCATTCCATAACGTTCAAGAAGTGCACCTGCACTTAATCATTGATTCACTGGTCGTGCTCACAAAGAACAAGTTTCTGGAAGCCATTAACCTTAGAGTTCCTCCCAACACCCAATTTTTCTCACCGAGCACATCCGACATTATCACCACTTTGTACCAAATGGGGTACCAAAAGAAACTAAAAGGGATTGGCGAATTCAAGAAAAATGAATTACCGGCGATATGGCAGTTCATCTGCCATTTTGTGATCAGAAGCTTGTCCGGCAGAACAGGTGGCACGGACAATATGGAGATCAAGCTTCTCGAGCTTGTGAAGAGCATCTTCACCGGCAACACGGTCAACTTCGGTCAAATCTTGTGGGATGACTTCCTACAGTACATCCCTAAGGAGACTCCTCGACAAGATGCTACCCAGCTTACTTTTGCTCGTTTCTGGTCTCTCTGCGTCTCAGATCTTCACAAGGAGGCGAAGCTGGATATAGGTGATGATTCTACACTCTTTATCACCTGCGATTTGAAAAGGTGCACCCCTTCCAAAGATCAGTCTCTTTTTGGACCTCTTAGGAGACTCCCTGGACACATCCTAGAGTCTATTGGACTCAACTCTCGTGAAGTCACTCACCACATTGAGGCTACGGATGGTATTGACACATACCATTCCTCCCCACCTCATCCCAGTTAGGCTGTTGTAGTTCCTACCAAAACCCAAGGTCCTTCTAGTATCGTAGTTGCTACTTCAACCTCAGTCCTTCATACTGAAGATCCATCTAGTCAACCAAAACCCAAGTGCCGCAAGCAGATTGTTTTCTCTAAGAAGGCTCTCCGCAACATAGTCAAAAAGGGTGACAATCCCTCCAAGAAACGCAAGTCAAGGATTGTTGAATCCTCGGATGAAACCACTTCCTCTCCCTCTGAATCTCATGACACCCCTGTCAATGTTGAAGAAGACTCTGAACACGACTCCAGTAACCTTTTCAGACGCAAAAAACTCAAACTCACCCATAGTCATAGCCAAATGCATGACCGGACTCATACCGCAGTCTCTCAAAAGACTCCGGTAGTCCTTGGAGCCCCCACAGGCTTATTTTCTTCTACCCTTTCCAGCTACTCCAATACAGCAAGTGTATCTGTTTCATATGAACATGGAGACACACCCCCAACTGGATCCCAAGAGGATCCCATTGGTTCATCACGCCCTAAGGTCTCGGGCAGCACATTTGCACGTCTTTAAGTCTGAGGAGTTGCACTCCATCCTCCTTTCTGTTACACAAACACTACAAACACCAGACCAACTGCAGGGCAATTCTTTCGCCATTGCCAAAACCGAACCGAGGCCACACTTGACTACAGGTTAAGGAGACCAAGGAAGTTCGGGAAATCATACTCCGCCACCATTACACTCAAGTGGTTTAGGCGTGGTGAGCACAATCGTGCCAGGATCCACGAACCCCGGGGATATCCTGGTGCGAACTCAAGGATTTGACGGATACTGTTTTGATGATTCCTGGACTCGGTACCAACCCAGTAATGAATCCAGAATCAGAAAGTATGAAGCTTTTTGTAGGGCGTTTCAGGCACGTAAGTCTCAGCAAACTCAACAAATTCAGCAACAGGAAAAGGATATCCAAACCGTAGCCAAGTACTGGGCTGATTCATTAAGCAACGCAAAAACTATCAATGATATCCTGCGGATTCATGAATGGATGTCCACATTGGAGGCCAGGGTGCAACAAGCTCAGAATTTTCAAGATGATGCTGGTCCATCTCAGCCTCCTGCAAATGTTGAAAACCATGATTCCTATGCTGAAGGCACCGCAATAGAGATCAGCTTGAGTTCGATGTTTGGACTTGATGATCTGGATGTTGATGAAATTGACCAACCTGCTCATTCAGACGATTTTCTGATGATCTTTGACGAAGAAGAAGAAATCCAGTGGTTCCCAACACTCTACCTCAAAGCCAAAGGAAAAGAAGAAAAATAAGAAGTTGGCAGTCTCTAGAAAGAAATTTCTCTCTTTTACAATCGAAAGTCGACCAGATTCTGGCCGGAGTCACCATTCCTCAACCGCAACAATCAGACATTTTTGGACCGCAATCTCTAGTAGAACGAGTGGAAAGATTAGAAGCAAGAGAACGATTGGCTGTAGAGAGAATATCACTGAAGGTGGAAATGGGTATTCGAGCCCTTGACAACAATCGAACTGTGGATCACAAACAGTTCCTTTCCACTGTTGAAACTCTCATTCAAGAAGTGACCGCAATCAAAGAAGAAATCAAATCTACTCTTGACCGTCAAGCTGCTCACTCTCAGACTCTTGTACAAGAAACGCACAATGCATATAAGTCTGCACTTGCAGTGCTACAATCAACAATCGATGGCTTGAGACGTTCTCTCACTTCCAACTCAAGTGTTGACGAAATTCTGTGCTTGACCAAAGAGATCTACAATTTGCTATTCAACACCGAAGTTCCTTCCAATGTTCAAGTCTCGGACCTGATCAAGTCTCAATTCGACAAGACCTTTTCGAAGATTGATGGCCTCAGACAGTGGTTTGAGGAGCAACAAATTGTTTCTTTCTCAAAAGGGGGAATTGAACACTCCAATCCTCAGCAACATCAATCTACCACAACAATTCCAATCCCAACTTTTGTTCCATCCCATCAAAGAATTGAGACTCAACTACTATCACCGCAACAAACACCACAACCATCTCCTAAACCATCAAATCTGGTGCAATATCATCATTCTCCTCCACCACAACAAAACTCCTCGCAACAAGTACAACATCAATCCCCTCCTCGTCAAGAACTCTCCCTCAGTTAAAAAATTTGGAACCAACTATGTCTTCCGAACACTCCACTGACTCTCCCGCAACTCGCCAAAGGAAGAAAGACTGGAAGGCGGCAAAATTCGCTGAAATGATTTGGAGAGAACATGGTTTCGACACAACCATGGATGAAACACTGATCAATTCCTGGGTAAATCCCACTCGAAGATTGCTCGATGAAGATTATAGGCCAGTTCTGCCCTATGCAGAACCAACTTCGGATGGGTACTGGGATATCCCGATCTCCCCCAACGCAAAAATTTTCTCGGTATTTTAACCCTTTCACCGCAACCTTCCTGATGACCAAAGACTACCTCTCGAGTTTGAACGTATGAACCGGTTCCACGCCAAGCATGGATCGGAGTTTGAAAGCATCTGGTCTAATGATAGACCTTCCACACTTAAAAATTTCAAGATAAGGAAGTTCATGAAGACTGACTTCCTTTAGTATACACTTACCAGAAGAGGCGACGACTATATTAGGAGTCAAGCAGATTTTCCCTGCATGAATCCGGAGGAAGTGTTTCTGATTGCTAGGGTATTTTAAATCAAGTCTGAAAAAGCCTGTGAATATCTTAAGTCAGTAGTTTGTGATTTTGCCAAGATTGATGCAGACATTCATCCGGTACTCACCCAAAAGTTCAATCTTCCAGCTCTTGAACTTGCACCTGCGTTCACCGAAGGATATCAAGAAATATCCTTAGGAGCAACCAAATTCACTGAACTTGGATTTGTGTACAAAAGAGCCAACAACGATGTCAAATACTTCATCCCTATAACTGCAATGAATCGCCTAACCCGCAGACAACTTGAAGTCACGTTGGCTTCAGTTCAGAGAACCAACCATACAACGGATGAAGTGAAGTTCGAGATCACAAGGAGAATTACATGGCTAGGAGAAGTGAGGAAGTTTTCGTGGCTGCTTATCAAGTTTCTGAAGCCCAATAACTAGTGAAGGAAAAGTTGAAGAGGTCACTTAGGGGGAAAATGTCACTACTAGAAAAATAGCCTTTTACGACGCACAATGCGTGTCGTAAACGCTCAGACGACGCGCAAATGCGTGTCAAGGAAGGCCCTGTCATTATGAGAGACGACACGCTTTTGCGCGTCGTCTATTTACGACACGCATTTACGACGCACAGTTATGACACACAATGCGTATCAAGGAAGGTCATGTCATAAAGAAAAACGACACGCATTTGCGTATCGTAACCTTACGACGCACATGTTTATGACACGCAATGCGTATAAAGGAAGCCCCTGTCATAAAGGAAGACGACACGCCATTGCGTGTCATAATTTTATATGTTATAAAAAAAATATTTTTGATAGAATTACTAATTTTCAAATTAAACAGCAGATTGAAATTATCATAATACAAAATAAAATACAATTAATAAGATAATTCATTGCACTAATATGTCATACAAATAATCATTCCAATAGTAAGTAAATGTAATACATTGCTAATATTGCATAATATTTATTATAAAAAAACAAGATATGTACAACCGATTGGATCCCTTTAAATGCTTGATTTGCCATCAATTCCTCCTAATTGTCTGCCCCACTACCCCTGCAGTTCAATCAAGACACCTAATCAATAAAAAACTTCAATAATTAATTTCTTTCCTTTTTAAAGTTAGTTCTTTTACAACAAAGAAAAAAAGGTTAAAGGAGAATAATAAAATATTGAATGGGTAACAGTGTTAGCAAGGCCACCATACATACAAACATGTAAACAAACAAATGAGAACATTAGCAAGGCCAAGTGGGTAACAACATCCCGACTACTTTGCTTGACACTATGCACATCAACAAGACTTTCCAAATTCATAGTTAGTAAGACGTTTTTTAACTAATTCTCATCCACAAGATTTACCCTTTTCATAATTAGTGAAGGGTAATTTAGACATTTACCTCCAAAAAATTATCTTGTCTTAGATAGTTGCATGTTACAACTTTCCCTAATAGGCATGCTCTTGATCCAACTACACGTTTGACCATCCAATACCCCTGTTAAACAAAATTATTATTCAACATCATATATTTAAAAAACCCTAGCCAAAAATCAAAAAAGATAAAAATGAATACATCCACAATGCTTGGAATCAATTTGAATCTTGAATCACGAAAAGTGTTTGTTCCATTAATAAATATTTCCAGCAAAGAGTCTTTGGCTATTAGCCTATCAGTAGCAAAGTAGAGAACTAGTTTGTAATTCGATTTAGCTAGCACCTGAAAAGAAAAACCAAAGTGGAAGGTGAAACCTGTGATCGGGGTAGATGTGCATGTGTGATGCTCCATATTATTGCTTTTATTCCTGGTAATAAAACAAAATAAGAAATTAAGAATTTTACTGGTATGACATCATTAGAAAAAATTATTAAAAGACATTATGGGAAAAAATTACCCATAACCAAGGTCTTGATAAGATGTTTACAGTCACTGACTTCTTTGGAATGTTCTAGAGGAACCTGAATGTTTAAAACAGCCTGCCAAATAGTTTGTATGTTTTAAGTGTCACTGTGCCATATATATATATATATATATATATATATATATATATATATATATATATATATTATATATATATATATATATATATGTCGATATGCCCCATATTTATATAATGAAATACGCCTAAAAGTATAAAATCAGTAGTGAGATTTGTAAGGTTAAGTTAACTGAGATAACAACCTGCACTGGCAGCTCAAGTTTTGACTTTAAAGTGGACCGATCCTTTCCTTCGTATCCATCTTCCAGGAGCTGTTATAAAAATCCGAAGCAATTAGTGGAAAGATGAAAGAGTTATATAATAGAGAACAATCAACTAATATAGATCTCTCACATGAGTGTTATCTTTTTTTTTTTCATTTTTTTTTTCATTTATTTTTGGTTAAGTAGTCGTATACCTAAGGAATACTATGCTTATAGGTGCTAAATTTCCCAACAAAAGCATCCAATATCCTCCCCTACACATGAAATAAAAATTGGTTATCATTATTCTGAAAGGAAGAGTTCAATATTCAAATTGCCAATGTCGGTACTTGCATCTCCAGAAAGAAGTAAAGAAGCCACACACAGAGAATAAGGGGATGAAATTTTCTTGACACTTTAAACAGAGAGATCAAAGTTATACCAGATTCAACAATAAGCGTGCGCATGTGGTGTGGATTTTGAGAGATAATGAAGCGACATGCATATTACTCGAGAATAGGTAGATAATCCGTGACAGCTGGCATCAACATGATAGAACACAGCAGTAAGCAATGTAATAAAAGAAAACATATCAAAAAGAAGGTTAGGAGAAATTTTAAGTCTGAGTTTGCTGATAGAAGTAAAAGTAATCTATGATATTTGAAAGAGGACACTAGATAGAATATCTAATAATCGATATCTTAGTATTGGATGAAATTCAAATAAAGCTTTCCAAACCTGTGACAATGAAAGATCTCCACAAACATGATGAACAATTTCTTCCAAGAGACTATAAGCTAATGGCCTTAGTGTCTCAAAACAAGCCCGGCCAATTCCCACAAGAACCCTAACATAGTTCACAAATTCTTAAATAATTTTTTTGACATTATATCGAAGTTAGCAAGATAACCATGTACATAATATCAATGTTACCTCTCTTCCAAGAGTGTATCAATCAGAGGAAATAAACCCCGTTTAAAATCCGTTCCAAGAACATGTTTTAATGCTATCAACAATTCCTGCACATAATAAGTAAAATATATAAACCACCTTACAAACATGAGCAGAATAGGTCACTAAGGATATACAAATCTAGTATCATAGTATCCATCACCTTTCTAATGGAAACAGAGTCTGAACAAGTAACAAGCAGGTTCAGAATGCTTTTACAAATGCTTTCTTCATGTGGCCTGATATAATCAGCAAAGCTCTTGAAAAGGTAAGTCAGGAAAGAGACAGTCTGCAAGAAGAAGATAGGGTATAAATGTATAATCTTCAAATATGATTTAAAACTTAAAAGGATGATAAAAGAATGATCTTGATAAAAATTACCTTAACTTGAGCCCCTTTTAGCTCAGTGAAGTGGGTCTTCAAATGAGGTGGAACCTTGTCCGGACCTGGGACTGAGATAGCAGCAACCATCAAAGGCAACAACTGAGGTATATTAGTCTGGACAAGGTGGTTATACAACTAAAACAGAAACATAACCACCAAAGGACCTCCCCATACCTGCTTTAAATGAAGAGACAACATGCTTCTCAGTTTCTCCCAATCATGACTGCAGTGTCACATCACATATGTAAAACTAATAATACTAATCATAATTCATTAAGATACAAATGTTGTTGAATTTGAAAATTGAGATATAAGGATTAGGTTGATAAAAAAATTTGTAGCATACCAGAACTTTCCAGTGGCTGCAATGACTTTTAATATGCTCCTTATTTCCTCTCCTTCTTCAGCAGTCTCTTGACTCATTTCCATAACCTCAGGCAAAGAAGCTTCACTTTCTAGTCAAAGTAGGGCACTAAGCTATAATAAACAAACGAATAGAAGTCTGTACATTTGTATTGTAAAAAAAAATAAAAATAAAAAGGTACCTGGATTCTTGAGGGACTTCTGACTTCAAAGTTTGCAGATGCAGTGGAGGTGAAAGTAGCAAAAGGGGTGGAGAATGTGATGGAACTATCAATGGTAAGGATGGTGGTAGAGATTTGTTGACAAATCTTGTCAACCTTCAACAATGGAGTTGTGCCCACTTCCAAAAGTGGTAATAGCTCAGAAAATGCAGTGTACCTGTTAATTGTTATGTTACCACACAAACAAAATATGTTTCAGAACACAACAAGGGTAGAATGGGTAAATTAAGAAATTATGAGGAAAATGGTTGGAGAAAGAAGTAAACATGCTTACTAAAATAAAATGATTAATATTTAAGTGAAGCAAGCGAAGTAAGAAGAAATAGGTAAATGGGGAAGGAACTTGAAATTACTCTTAGAATGCTTATAAGGAGAGAATTCTAAAGGCTTTAAGTAGTATAAAGAAAGGGTGGGGCTATAGAACAATTACAGTTTCCTTATAGTGCGCTTAGGTTTATTTATAATTATAATGGCAAGACTTGATGGATGTCGGGTAGATTTAACTTAATTTTCAACAAAGGGTAAATAGGTCATTTAACTTAACCTTTAAAGACTCATGATTCTTGTAACTCAAGATAGGGTCGGGAGAAAGACACAACTAACCCACAGGTTCAACCTTGACTCTCTAATTGAACAATTTTACTCCTCCAAGTGGCTAAGGATAACAACATCAAAGTGTTGGCAAAAACATGTCCGATTAATCAAGACTAAATGGAGAAATCTAGATTTCTAAATCTGGAATAAGGGTAATGTGGAACCTTCATTGTAAGTCTTGAATAGCATAGTGATATGTATATACACTTGATACCCGTAGAGAGAAACAGTTTACCTCTGACATGAAATGGGCTCAATTAAATTGTAAATATAACCCAGATTTTATTAAGAGATAAAAGAAGAGAGAAAATATCTAAGGGATACAATTTCAAGATGAGATGAGAGGGCGTACAAGAAGGTTCATGTACTGATCAACATCGAAGGAGGTGGTGTTGATAGTGTCGAGAGTGGCGAATCTTGATGTGGTGTTGGTGGGAGCAGAAGTCTGAGAAGCTCGATAGCAGATCTCGAGTTCTCTTTACCTTATCATCATCTACCGCCATTTTTCTCTTTCTCTCTAGTCCCTCTTAACTCTTAACTCTGTTTCTTTTCCTAAACCATACTCAATTAGATATCTTCTCTGTAGTGTAAAGTGTAAACACTTCTTCAACCTTGGCTGATGACCTGTGCTTCTTGCTAGGTCTCCCACTTGTATCAGATGTGAGCAAACACATAAAGAGTTAGATTAGTAGGATCAATTATCGCATTCATGCACACAAGCTTTTGTGTTTTGATTGCAATCCTTGATTATATGGTGATCGTATATTAGGGGTTTTTTTCTAAAATTAAATCCGAATATACCGTGCCCCATGATCGGTTCTTAGATTTGTTGCCCGAAACAACAATTTGTGTTTGATTTCGAGAATATGAAGATCTTTTCAGGTAGTACAGGATCGAGCGGTGGGCAACCGGGCCACAGCGCAGAGCACACGTCTCTAGGTCCCAAAACATACCTTTGGCGAGTTAGATCTTATTGACGGACCATGGGAAGGCAAGAAGTTGGAGATGTGGAGAACAACGGTCGGCGGAGTAAGTCTACGACTGTTGTTGAAAAAGCCCTCCTTGAAAAAGCCCTAGATAATGGTCCCTACAATGGCGGGGTTTTCAACTTTTGCAATTCCTTTCCCCGCCGCTACTAAAGATGAAGCTGCTAGATGAAGATGCACGTTTCATTAAAAAAATATAAAGCGACATGATTTCACAATACGCTTTTTAAGATAGGTGCCCTCCGCCCTTTTTTTTGACACTAATTTTAGGGCACGCAAAAAATGCGCGTCCTAAATCCTTCACATTTTGGAAGAACTGACATTATTTTTAGGGCACACACTTTTGCGTGTCGTAAAACAGCGCGTGTCATGGTTTGCGCGTCATTAAAGGGTATTTTTCTAGTAGTGTTTTAAAGCAAAAAGTGACCCTCTTAAACTTAGTCATCCGCAATCACTTCTGTCTACTGCAATCTGTTCCTTCACTACCGCAACTCTTGTCTCTACCGCAATCACTCCCCTGCTACTGCAATCTAGAAGTGAACTGCAATGAAGATTTATCTTTTGTACTGACTTAGTGTGATAGCGTCTGTTTATTCAATAGACATTGTATGGTATTTTTTAGTCAGTGGTTTATTAATTGTTTATTTTGAATGTAAGTCTTCGAGGCTCTATAAATAGAGTGCTCATGTTTTGTATCAACTACTTCTACTTCTACAACTTCTAATCTCACTACGGAATTCACTTCTTATTTCCATGTCTACTTCTTATCTCTTATCACTTCTAATACCTCTATCTTACTTACTGATCATCATCGAAGATCCTCTTCACTTTAAACTGATCTCACTTACTAAATCATGTTTGAATGCAAACCGTGTTTCGTATCATTTTAGTGTTTACTTGATATAACTTGTCATTTACATTTCCTTTACATTTCAGCACTTTACATTTCCGCAACTAACAATCTAACACATCTAACTTATTATTGTTGAGCTTACATGATCCTTTGAGATTAACTTATTTCGCAATTATCAACTTGTACTAACGTTTGTTCAAGTGTTTCCCAAAGTTCTTCTCTCAACACCACCATGTAAATAGAGTTAAATTACTTCAAGACACGAGCTTGTTGATGTGGATTCACAAATTCATATATCAGTTATGTTACAACTTATTACTATTTTTTAGTGAAGACAGAAGACCTGACGTATGAATTATCTTTTTAGTGAGAAAAAACTACAGCCATATCAAGAAAAAGCAGCAGGAAGCTGTGATGCCTACAGATAAAAATCAAAGTAGAAAGAGCAGAGCCTTTGTGAATGGTTCGTTATACCCCCAAATCAGAAACACAAACAGAGCAACTCTAAAATAGAGCCTAAGCCGAAGGGTAATACAGAAAGAATAAGGATCAATCATTTGCAGAAAATGAAAAAAGGTCTAAACTCTGTAGAGATGTGTGCTTATAAAAACTGATATTCTAAAAAAAACATCTAATTACCTAGAGGCATGGAGTTTGTACGCATCGGGTTTGGGAAGGTAGCCTCAAATCTTAATCCAAAATAAAACCGAAGAGAGAAGGAATCATAGACTTAGGAACCTACAGTAGCATCTCACTTGACACCATTCTTCATATGCAAGGATTTGAATGAAAAGCGGAGCAACCTAATCGAATAGAGAGGGAAAATGAGAAAAATCAAGGAAGCAACCCTAATCGATTCAAACATCATCATCAACGTAAAAGAAATAAAATAGGGAAAAAAATAATATTGTAAATAAACATGCATAAGAAATAGCATAAATCGACATACCTGAAGTCTTTGATCTAAGGCGTCGTTGGTGGAGAAATGTTAGAGCCGACGATGGGAAATCAAGGATGTGTAGAAATCTAAAACTCATCGAATGAAGATAACAGAGAAGGCTGCAATCTGAAGAAGCGAAGCACCAACTTTGAATTTTGGGTACCAAAATTGAGCAAATGGAATGTGTAGACCTTTAAAAGTGGAATATAAATCAGAGAGAATGAGCGAGAAAGGGAGAGTAATCTATGAATCTTATGGGTGGAAAAAGCCAAAAACAATAATGATAGAAGATAAGAGAGAAATCAGAAGAAGACATCTGTTATCCCATCGTGGAAGAAGCAGATTATCTGACAGAGGCGGTCACTATAGCAAGTCGATGTGATGCATATTTGAAGCTCTCGAGGCAATCACATGTAGCAATTGATATAAGAATTAATTGAAAAACAAAGAAATAAATTGGACCAATAGGGATATAACACTATTCATAAGGCAACTGGGTGTGGTGCCACACTAGCCACCGTCCACGTAAGCGCCACGTGATTTTTGCCACACTTTAGCCAAAACTTGTCGTTTGCATGACATGGGTTGCCATACTTGCCATGCTAAAAATATATTTTTAATTAATTTAAAAAATAATTATTTAAACATATTTTTTTAAAACTTAAATTCCATTAAAAAACATTGAAATTCAAAAAAAAAATTAAAAAAAAAACATAGAAATTAAAAACATTACAAGACCACCAGAAATTCAAAAACATCACGCTAAATATTCAAACACACAACCCACTAGAAATTAGAAGACAAAGACTTCAAATTTGACGCCATTTGGAACACTGCCTCATAATTTTCCAAAACTCAACAAGCCTGAAATCTTTGCGATTCTCAAGAGCATTCTTTAGCAAAGTATTTTCGTTTTCGCCATTTCCAGCTTCATGCATCACCCCATGAAACACAATGGTAAACCGAGTTGCAAGTGCATGTGCATTTCCCCATTTGGCATAGACTATATATTTTCTTCGAGGTTGAAGGGTTTGGTGGTTTTCTATGCTGGCAACTCTCCTCCAAAAAGTGGTCGAAGGGCTGTCATTGTAGTTTGGATCTTCTGCTACATCAATCAATGAACGGACGAGTAAGATCTCTTAATCAATAGACCGAACAATAGCCATTTTCAGTGAGGAGGTGTAGAACAAGATGGAAAAATAAGAAAGTTAAGAAAATAGAATTAAGGAGATTTGAATAGGGTGAGAGTGAATAACGATGAAAATATTTATAGTTGAAGATTGAGAGTTTAAAATTTGAAAAAAAACAACGGTTATATTTTTGAAATTGGGTCTTTTTTTTTGGGAAATATGATATTTTTTGAAAATGAAATTTGAATAATAAATGACAAAACAAACAAAAAAAAATTGGGTATTCTCTCTCATCGGTAACTCTCTGCCGAATTGCCGAGCCGAGCTCGACATGCCTCGGCCTCGGCCCCGTGTTCGCCGAGAATGCTGATTCCGTTCCCGAAGCCACACCGAGGGGAGTTGTAATTTCCTCTGTGTGTGTGTGTGTGTGTGTGTGTGTCTATATATATATATAATATATATATATATATATATATATATTATATATATATATATATATATATATATATAGATATATATATATATAATATGAAATAACGCACACCTAACAGGGAAACTTATAAAATATTTCATAAATAAAAGCATAATTTGTTGAAAAAGGTTTATGATTATAAGTTTTTAAAAAGAAAATAAAATGAGTGAAAATTC